TAGATGTTATATAATGTGGGAGCCAGAGGACATCCCTGTCGCACCCAAAGGTGTACAGGGAATGGCTCTGACTCCCGGCCATGTAGTTTTACCCGGGCCCACTCACCATCATAAAGGTCCTTAATGATCGTGAGCAGAGGGTCAGGTACTCCAAAAGCAGGAAGAACAACCCAGAGCCCAGGCCTACTGATGGTATCATAGGCCTTGACCAGGTCAATAAAGCAGAGATGTAGGTCTTGCTGGAATTCCCTACACCACTGCTGTAGCAGACGGACAGAAAATATGGCATCTGTGCAGGACCGCCCTTTCCTGAAACTGCATTGGGGCTCCGCAAGCCTCACCTCAGCGTGCCTGGCAAGGCGATGTTGAATAATCCTTGCCAGGACCTTTCCTGGCACACTGAGGAGTGAGATGCCCCTGTAGTTGTTACAGTCTGTGCGGTCCCCCTTCTTAAAGAGGGGGGCCACCAGGGCATCCTTCCAATCCTGCGGAACCCGTCCAGTGGTCCAGACTGTTGTTATGATGTCATATAGGGCAGTCTGTGCACAAACGCCACCCTCCCTCAGCATTTCACTTGGGAGATCATCTCTGCCCGCTGCCTTTCCTGGTCTCAAGACTCCGGATCGCCTTCAGTACTTCCTCAACAGATGGCACTTCAGCCAGCCACTCACAGGGGGTGACTTCTTCCAATATTTGAGGCACCGCAGCCTCAGCAGGGTCATCCTCACTTTGTGCCACGATGTTTTCCTGGCCGAGGGATTTTCCCTCCCCCAGGACCTCACAGAAATGCTCAGCAAATCTGCAAACCTGTTCCTGGGGGTCGGAGATTGGATCACCGTTTTTTCCCCTAATGATGGTAATAGGTGTTGCGCTGCAGGTTACTTTTTTGATGGAGTTAGAGATTTGTGATCGCGGGCCACTGTGGCAGACTCCATCGCCTCAGCAACCCGCGACCCCCACCCATCCTTGCAGCGCCTCACGGCTCTCCGAACCTCCGAACCTCCGAGCGAAGGCTGCGGTAAGCCTCCTCGTTCTCTGACGTGGGATTCTGTAGCTGATGAAAGTGGGCCTGTCCCTTTTTCTCAACCTTCCTGAACACCTCCTCTGTCAGCCAGGGTCTCTGGGGAGGTCTGGACCGCGTACCCAAAGCAGCCATTGCAGCTGCGTGAGTCAGTCCTAAACCTCGCCCATTTACCCTCAACATCAGGAGGAGTGGGGGACGATGCCAACCCCAGTCGCAAGCGATGATGACATTCTCGCTTGCAACTTTCATCAGATAACTGAGACCAGGCCACTTTAGGTTGGAATGGGGTCCTGGGTGTACACCCACCACCGGAGTGGAAGAATGGCAGGCGCATCTTACAGATGACTAGTCGATGGTCAGAGGGCAGATCAGCTCCACGGTAGGTCCTGGTGTCAAGGACATGGGCTCGCATCCGCTGGTTCATCACTATGTAGTCCAGCAGATGTTCTTGCTTGGACCCGGCATGCATCCATGATGTTGTGTGGATGCGCCGATGCCAGAACAGCGTGTTGGTAATTACAAGCCCATGGGCTGCACAAAAATCTAGCAGCCTCCTACCGATGTTATTGAGCTGATCTGGCCCATGCCCTCCAATCACTCCAGACCAAGTGCCAGCATCATGACCAACTCGGGCATTGAAGTCACCCAACAAGATGACTCTATCCCAAGGGGCCACTTTAGCCAGCACCTGTGACAGGTCATAGAAGGCATCTGACTCATCGGCTTTGCCTGCATCCCTCCACGGATGTTCATCTGCAGTGGGGGCATAAGTAACCACGACCACCACTCCTTGCCTCCGGTTGATGGGAAGGCGAGCCCAAAGTAGCCTGGGGCTTACAGCTTCCCACACCTCACCGCCAGGCTCCCACGCCCCCTTAATTTTTTTTGTTTAAAAGAGCCACACCCTGTTGTTTGGCAGTCTGCTGCCCCGAGTAGAGGATTGTCCACCCCTCATGGTGACAGGAGCCAGAACCGGTCCACCGGACCTTCTGAATACCACAGAGATCCAGGCGGTACCGGTCCAGCTCCCGACAGAGGAGTGGCAGCCTCTCCTCCTGGAGGAGCCCCGAGCGTAGAGATTCAATCTCCTGGCTCCGCCAATTGGGGTTTGGCCAGGAGACGTCATAGACGCCTGTCCCCCCGGGGCCTCCGGCACAAGCTTATTATTTACATATTTCAGTCGTAGTTTAGTGGTAAAATTGAAGGTGGAGTGATTACCACCCCCTCGCACCACCCGTCCAGAGTCCCCGTTTAGCCACTGTGGTGGACACATGCCATGAGGGGAGGAGCCAATCGGAATTGGCCCAACCTCCACAGCACTGTCCACTATAGAGTTGCCCGTCCAGCACCGCGAGGAGGTAGGGGGTTGTTTATCCGGACACACACACTCACCCACTCACATAATCACTCACAGTACTTCTAGATTAGAATTTTTCGTGACTGCAAGGATTCATACTCTTTGTTTTTTTCGGTAAAGTCACGTAGGTAAAATACAAATAAAAGAAAACAATTAAATAACGACGTTTCGGAGGCAACACAAGCTTCCGTCTTCAGGTGGAACAGTCACAGCAAGATCGCTGCATCAAGTGGGGAGGCTCTGAGAGCCTTGAGCTTAAATACAGGTTAAGGGGGGGGGGGGGAGCCAAGTCGGGGACATTGATGGGATGCGGGGCTAAGTTAATCCGTCTTTTGTTATGTTGAGGGTGCGGGGGATGCGGTGGGTCACTGCACGGGGGCAATGGAAAATGGAAACAACAATGGGAAAGTTCGGAAAGAATATGCTGTGCGCTTATAAGGTAGCTAAAGTTTTGACTTGGTTTATGACATCTTTCCAGTGGTTGCTTAATTTTAAACCATCCTCTCGGTTGAAGTTGTGTCTATGTTTGTGTATCTGGATGGCTTCATGGACAAATCTTTGGTAATAACCGGGAGGTTTGCAGAGAACTTTGGTATCAGAGAAGACAATGTCATGAGAACCCACTGTGTTGAAACAATGATCAGCCACGGCCGAAGAATTCGTTCTGCCGTGTTTCAAATCTGATTTGTGCTCGCGGATTCGGTCAGAAATATGTCGTTTTGTCTCCCCGATATAGCAGTCACCACAGGTACAACTTAATTTGTAAACACCGGGGTACTGTAAGTCAGGGATGACATCCTTTACAGATGGGATCAGATAACGGATTTAGTGTACTGTATTGAATCGAACCTGGATCTTGTGTTTGTTTAGAATTTTTGAAATATTTTTGGTAACGCCTGCTATGTATGGCAGTGTGATGATTTTGATCGGAGTGTCAAGTGGTTGTTTCTTTATGGTCGGGGAAACAGCTTGGCGGATGATACGGTCAGAGTAACCGTTCATCTTGAGGGCTAGATGTACATGTTTTAATTCACTGGTCAGGTGGTGTTGGTCAGAAATGCAATGAGCTCTATGGTATAATGTTTTGAAACACGGCAGAACGAATTCGTCGGCCGTAGCTGATCATTGTCTCAACACAGCGGGTTCTCATGAGATTGTTTTCTCCGATACCAAAGTACTATGCAAACCTCCCGGTTATTACCAAAGATTTGTCCATGAAGCCATCCAGATACACAAACACAGACACAACTTCAACCGCGAGGAAGGTTTTAAATTAAGCAACCACTGGAAAGATGTCATAAACCAAGTCAAAACTTTAGCTACCTTATAAGCACGCAGAATATTCTTTCCGAACTTTTCCATTTGTTGTTTCCATTTTCCATTGTCCCCGTGCAGTGACCCACCGCATCCTCCGCACCCTCAACATAACAAAAGACGGATTAACTTAGCCCCGCATCCCATCAATGTCCCCGACTTGGCTCCTCCCCCCCCCCTTAACCTTAGCCCCGCCCCCCCATCAATGTCCCCTACTTGGCTCCTCCCCCCCACCCTTAGCCCCGCCCCCCCATCAATGTCCCCTACTTGGCTCCTCCCCCCCACCCTTAGCCTGTATTTAAGCTCGAGGCTCTCAGAGCCTCCCCACTTGATGCAGCGATCTTGCTGTGACTGTTCCACCTGAAGACGGAAGCTTGTGTTGCCTCCGAAACGTCGTCATTTAATTGTTTTCTTTTATTTTTATTTTACCTACGTGACTTTACCGAAAAAAACCAAAGAGTATGAATCCTTGCAGTCACGAAAAATTCTAATCTAGAAGTACTGTGAGTGATTATGTGAGTGGGTGAAAAACGTCTTAAAGTGATTATGTGACTGTGCAAACAGAAAATCCAGCGGAAAAAAAAACATCAAAAATATTCCTGAAAAAAGCACCGTATACCAACGCTGTGTTCAAAAAATATCAGTGGGATTCAAGTCAAACAACAACAACAACAACCACAAGACAACTTAGATTAATGCCATCAGTCTAACTCAGTACTACAACAAACACAAACATGGCCAAAACAAAAAAACGTTTTCGAAATCACCAAAATAAAGCCATAAATGCAACGTAACAGTGATCACAGGGACTGTGACCGAATGTTTTACAATAAACTACATAAACAACATGTAACACCAAACCCTAGAGCCACAGCTGGCTGCATGAGTTACTCCACAACAACAGGAGCATCAGTCGGAGTATCACATTTTTAAATGCACCTGTGACGGCGATGTCACCACGGCGCGTGTGCCAGGCTAGGTGCACGAGGAGGAGGTCACTGGGCAGACCCAGCAGGTGCCATGGGTCTTACTGCTCCCGTGCCTGGCTAGGTGCACCATCAACCACGTCCATCTTGTGACTGTCATGACGTCTTAGTGACGTCATCCACCCTGGGACGTAATGACGTCACGAGAGCGGCCGAAGCGTTGAACGGAAGTGACTCAATTATTGGAAACGGATGGTTCATTTATTTATATATTAGCTTTTCAAATATATACTTGTTATTCCATGTTGCTGTTAAGCAGACAGCTTTTTTCCTTGTTTAACTTTCAATCCTGACACATTTAAAATATAAAAATAAAACATTATTTAAAGTCTCCCTCGTGTGCATCCGGTTTCCGGCGGAAGCGGAAGTCAGGAGAAAGACGCGGGAATATTACGGCTGGCGAGAAGAGAGACGGAGAGAGGTGAGTGGTGGTGAGTGGTGGTGGTGGTGAGTGAGTGAGTGAGTGGTGGTGGTGAGTGAGTGGGTGGTGGTGAGTGAGTGGTGGTGAGTGAGTGGTGGTGGTGAATGAGTGGTGGTGAGTGAGTGGTGGTGGTGAATGAGTGGTGGTGAGTGAGTGGTGGTGAGTGAGTGGGTGGTGGTGAGTGAGTGAGTGGTGAGTGAGTGGTGGTGAGTGGTGGTGGTGGTGAGTGAGTGAGTGAGTGGTGGTGGTGAGTGGTGGTGGTGGTGAATGAGTGGTGGTGAGTGAGTGGTGGTGGTGAATGAGTGGTGGTGAGTGAGTGGTGGTGGTGAATGAGTGGTGGTGAGTGAGTGGTGGTGGTGAATGAGTGGTGGTGAGTGGGTGGTGAGTGAGTGGTGGTGGTGAATGAGTGGTGGTGGTGAATGAGTGGTGAGTGAGTGAGTGGTGAGTGAGTGGTGGTGGTGAATGAGTGGTGGTGAGTGGGTGGTGAGTGGGTGGTGAGTGAGTGAGTGGTGAGTGAGTGGTGAGTGAGTGGTGGTGGTGAATGAGTGAGTGGTGGTGAATGAGTGGTGGTGAGTGGGTGGTGAGTGAGTGGTGGTGGTGAATGAGTGGTGGTGGTGAATGAGTGGTGGTGAGTGGGTGGTGAGTGAGTGGTGGTGGTGAATGAGTGGTGGTGGTGAATGAGTGGTGAGTGAGTGGTGAGTGAGTGGTGGTGGTGAATGAGTGGTGGTGAGTGGGTGGTGAGTGGGTGGTGAGTGAGTGAGTGGTGAGTGAGTGGTGAGTGAGTGGTGAATGAGTGGTGGTGAGTGGGTGGTGGTGAGTGAGTGGTGGTGGTGAATGAGTGGTGGTGGTGAATGAGTGGTGGTGAGTGAGTGGTGAGTGAGTGGTGGTGGTGAATGAGTGGTGGTGAGTGGGTGGTGAGTGGGTGGTGAGTGAGTGAGTGGTGAGTGAGTGGTGAGTGAGTGGTGGTGGTGAATGAGTGAGTGGTGGTGAATGAGTGGTGGTGAGTGGGTGGTGAGTGAGTGGTGGTGAGTGAGTGGTGGTGGTGAATGAGTGGTGGTGGTGAATGAGTGGTGGTGAGTGGGTGGTGAGTGAGTGGTGGTGGTGAATGAGTGGTGGTGGTGAATGAGTGGTGAGTGAGTGGTGAGTGAGTGGTGGTGGTGAATGAGTGGTGGTGAGTGGGTGGTGAGTGGGTGGTGAGTGAGTGAGTGGTGAGTGAGTGGTGAGTGAGTGGTGAATGAGTGGTGGTGAGTGGGTGGTGGTGAGTGAGTGGTGGTGGTGAATGAGTGGTGGTGGTGAATGAGTGGTGGTGGTGAATGAGTGGTGGTGAGTGAGTGGTGAGTGAGTGGTGGTGGTGAATGAGTGGTGGTGAGTGGGTGGTGAGTGGGTGGTGAGTGAGTGAGTGGTGAGTGAGTGGTGAGTGAGTGGTGGTGGTGAATGAGTGAGTGGTGGTGAATGAGTGGTGGTGAGTGGGTGGTGAGTGAGTGGTGGTGAGTGAGTGGTGGTGGTGAATGAGTGGTGGTGGTGAATGAGTGGTGGTGAGTGGGTGGTGAGTGAGTGGTGGTGGTGAATGAGTGGTGGTGGTGAATGAGTGGTGAGTGAGTGAGTGGTGAGTGAGTGGTGGTGGTGAATGAGTGGTGGTGAGTGGGTGGTGAGTGGGTGGTGAGTGAGTGAGTGGTGAGTGAGTGGTGAGTGAGTGGTGAATGAGTGGTGGTGAGTGGGTGGTGGTGGTGAATGAGTGGTGGTGGTGAATGAGTGGTGGTGAGTGAGTGAGTGGTGAGTGAGTGGTGGTGAGTGGGTGGTGAGTGAGTGGTGGTGGTGAATGAGTGGTGGTGAGTGAGTGGTGAGTGAGTGGTGGTGAGTGGGTGGTGAGTGGGTGGTGAGTGAGTGGTGAATGAGTGGTGGTGAGTGGGTGGTGGTGGTGAATGAGTGGTGGTGGTGAATGAGTGGTGGTGAGTGAGTGAGTGGTGAGTGAGTGGTGGTGAGTGGGTGGTGAGTGAGTGGTGAGTGGGTGGTGAGTGAGTGGTGAGTGGGTGGTGAGTGAGTGGTGAGTGAGTGGTGAGTGAGTGGTGAGTGAGTGAGTGGTGAGTGAGTGAGTGGTGAGTGAGTGGTGAGTGAGTGAGTGGTGAGTGAGTGGTGGTGGTGAATGAGTGGTGAGTGAGTAGTGGGTGGGTGGTGAGTGAGTGAGTGGGTGGTGAGTGAGTGGTGAGTGGGTGGTGAGTGAGTGAGTGGTGAGTGAGTGGTGGTGAGTGAGTGGTGAGTGGGTGGTGGTGAGTGAGTGGTGGTGGTGAATGAGTGGTGGTGAGTGAGTGAGTGGTGAGTGAGTGGTGGTGGTGAATGATTGGTGGTGAGTGAGTGAGTGGGTGGTGAGTGAGTGGTGAGTGGTGGTGAGTGAGTGAGTGGTGAGTGAGTGAGTGAGTGGTGAGTGAGTGGTGGTGAGTGGGTGGTGAGTGAGTGGTGAGTGGGTGGTGAGTGAGTGGTGGGTGAGTGAGTGGTGAGTGAGTGGGTCGTGAGTGGTGGGTGAGTGAGTGATTGGTGAGTGAGCGGTGAGTAGGTGGTGAATGAGTGGTGGGTGAGTGAGTGAGTGGTGAGTGAGTGGGTGAGTGGTGAGTGAGTGGGTGGTGAGTGAGTGGTGAGTGAGTGGTGGATAGTGAGTGAGTAGTGGGTGGGTGGTGGTGAGTGAGTGGTGAGTAGGTGGTGAGTGAGTGGTGGGTGAGTGAGTGAGTGAGTGGTGGGTGAGTGGTGAGTGAGTGGGTGAATGGTGAGTGAGTGAGTGGGTGGTGGGTGAGTGAGTGGTGGTGAGTGGGTGGTGAGTGAGTGGTGAGTGGGTGGTGAGTGGTGGGTGAGTGAGTGATTGGTGAGTGAGCGGTGAGTAGGTGGTGAGTGAGTGGTGGGTGAGTGAGTGGTGGGTGAGTGGTGAGTGGGTGAATGGTGAGTGAGTGGTGAGTGGGTGGTGAGTGAGTGGTGAGTGAGTGGTGGGTGAGTGAGTGGTGAGTGAGTGGTGAGTAGGTGGTGAGTGGTGGGTGAGTGAGTGATTGGTGAGTGAGCGGTGAGTAGGTGGTGAGTGAGTGGTGGGTGAGTGGTGAGTGAGTGGGTGAATGGTGAGTGAGTGGTGAGTGAGTGGTGGATAGTGAGTGAGTAGTGGGTGGGTGGTGAGTGGGTGGTGAGTGAGTGGTGAGTGAGTGTGGATAGTGAGTGAGTAGTGGGTGGGTGGTGAGTGAGTAGTGGGTGAGTGGTGAGTGGGTGAATGGTGAGTGAGTGGTGAGTGGGGAGTGAGTGGTGAGTGAGTGGTGGATAGTGAGTGAGTAGTGGGTGGTGAGTGAGTGAGTGGTGAGTGGGTGGTGAGTGAGTGTTTCAGTTTCATTTTTTTGGTAGAGCCCTGTGAGCTCTTGAATCGGGTGCAACCGCAACAAACAACATGAACAAGAGAACGTCTTAAAGTAACTATGTTACTGTGCAAATAGAAAATCCAGGAAAAAAAACAGCAAAACATTCCTGAAAAAGCACCATTCACCAACACTGTGTGCAAAAATCCCAGTGGGATGCAAGTCAAACAACAACAACAACCACAAGACAACTAAGATTAAGGCCATCAGTCTAACTCCGTACAACAACAAACAAACATGGCCAAACAAAAAACAACTTTTCGACATCACCAAAATAAAGCCATAAAAGCAATTTAACAGTGATCATAGGAACTGTGACCGAATTTTCACAATAAACGACATAAACAACATGTAACACCAAACCCTAGAGCCATAGCTGGTTGCATTAGTCACTCCACAACAACAGGAGCATCAGTCGGAGTATCAAAATTTTCAATGCACCTTTAAGATCAGCACACTAAATCAAAATACAGATAATACTTTGCAGCGGCCATCCAGAGCGAAACATTTTATGTTATTTTAGGCCACTGAATAGCAGTGGCAGCTAGGGGTGTACAACTCCTCTCGAGCAGTTTTTAGTGAAGATCTCATAGGTAGTCATTCAAGTTGCAGTTTATTGGCAATAGCATTCCAGACCCTGGGGGCATCAATAACAACGGCCCTTCCTCCAGTTTTTGTACGGCAATAGGGAATGTGAAGCTGGTAAATGAGCAAAGACCTGAGGTCAAATTTGTTCTTTGAAACAGAGAGGAGATCCAGCAGATAGTCTGCGGAATTTTTTGTAAGTACATCGTGAATAAATAAGATCTAGTGTACACGCCGTCGAACATTAAGAGATGTTAAGTTTGAACCAATGTAGAGATCACAGTGGTGAGTCCTATATAGGCAGTTCAATGCAAATCTTAAGGCCGAGTGATAGATGGAATCAAGCTTCTTCAGTACAGTACTTGGGGCTGATTTATACATGTCACAGTAATCAAGTAGAGGCAGTATGGTAGCTTTTATCAATTCCAAACGGAACATAGGGGGGAAACAGTGCTTGTGTCGATACAGAAAACCAATTTTTATTTTTGTCTTTTTACCAATATAATCAATGTGATCTTAAAAAAAAACAGTTTTGAATCCAGGATGACCCCAAGATACTTATAGATCTTGACTTGCTCTATTTGATAATTATTCAAGGAATGTAATTGGGGAAAAATACCTTCCTGCTTTAGTCCTGGTGAGAAGCATAGCACCTTGGTTTTGGAGGTATTCAGGACTAGTTTAAGAGCAACTAGCTGATGTTGTAGTTTGTTGAAATCACCCTAGAGCAGGGGTGTCCAAAGTATTTTTAGTGAGGGCCAAATACATAAAAAATAAACAAAAGGCCGGGCCACACACTAGAGGTGACATATTGACACGTGAATACTGCGTGTCTTTCTAACTCACCTATAATGTGAAGAACATTGCACTCAGTGGGAACAGTGATGCTGTCCTTTGGATTGAAGGATGGCTGACATGTCAGGAGAAAGTTTGGTGGTTGAGACACGAAGGACTTCACAGAGATGGCTATCAGTCATTCTGGTTCTCAGTCTGCTTTTGTTCTGATTTAACAGAGAAAATGTTTGTTCACATATGTATGTTGAGCCGAACAGGCTCATCATTCTTTTTGCGTGGCATCTCATCAGAGGAAACTTGGCATTATCCAAACTCTGATAGAAGTCAGGGAGGGAGAGAAGCTGATGTTGACTCTTCAGAGAATCATCACATTGCATTTCAATCAGTTCTAACTGCAGACTCTCTTCCACTTCTTCTGCATCCACCAGGAAGGGGGTCGAGAACAGCTTGATTTGTTTTTCAATGACAGAAAAATCTTGGAAACGCTGGTTGAATTCTGTCACGAGAGATACAATCACAGACACATATTTCTCCTTTTTAGCAGAAAGGTCGGCCTTTGGAAAAGCAGACTTCAGACAGCGCAGGGAAGTGTGCAGCAGTAAAGCTTTGTAGTTGTGTCTCAAACAGGCGGAGCTTTACACAGAAGGCTTTCATGTGCTCATACAGGTTGTGGCACCAGCTGTTCTTTGCCTTGTAGGTTCTTGTTCCGTGTATTCAGATGATGAGTAAGATCAACTAAAAATGCCAGGTCTGCCAGCCACAGAGGGTCACTCAGTTCATGAAGAGGTCGGCCCTTCTCTTTCAAAAAGCTGGTCGATTTCTGATCTCAGCGAATAAAACCGCTGCAGCACAGGGCCGCGGCTGAGCCAACACACATCAGAGTGGTAGAGTACATCCCCGTGTTCAGCATCCACATCAGATAGGAAAGCTTGAAATTCTCTGTGGTACAGTCCTCTAGCTCGAATTATGTTGACAGTTTTTACAACAGTGTTCATCACATCGCCCAGCTGGACAGTCTTGGCACACAATGTGCTTCTTGGTGGATTACGCAGTGCATCCTAACAGCCTCACCTCCGCTCTCTTTTACCTTGGCGCACACCACCGATGCCATTCCTTTGCGCTCGCCCGTCATGGCCGGAGCTCCATCCGTTGTTACTCCACAGAGCTTGTCCCATTTAAGCCCCCATCTTTTCAACTGCCTCTGACACAGCTTCAAAAATATCTCTACCCGTCGTTGTGCCTTTTAGGCTCATCATATCAAGCAGTTCCTCCGTACAGCAAAAATTATCATCTACTCCCCGCAAAAAAATTAACAGCTGCGCGGTGTCTGTGGCATCTGTGCTCTCGTCGCATGCTATCGAGTAAAAATCAAAAGCACAAGCTTTGTCTCTCAGCTGAAGTTTCAAGTTAGCTGACAAGTCCTCGATTCTCCGCACCACTGTATTTCTGGATAAGCTCACGCTGTTGAAATCCTGCACTTTTTCCGGGCACATTATTTCTGTGACTTTGATGAGGCACTGCTTTATGAAATCACCGTCTGAGAATGGTTTGCCATGCTGGGCAATAAGTTTAGTGACTTCATAGCTTGCTGTTGTGGCGTTTTCCTGTATTTTGTTTACACGAAAAAAAAATTGTTGTTGAGCTTGCAGGCTAGCCGCCATTTGCTTGACTTTCTGTGTTCGTTCGGCACCGGTGTACGATGTGTAGCTCTGATGTTTGGTCTCATAGTGCCGACGGACATTATATTATTTCATCACAGCAACATCTTCATTGCAAATCAAACAGACACACTTTCCGCTGATTTCTTTTAAAAAATATTCACTTTCCCACCGTGTTTGAAATCTTCTACACTCACTTGCTATTTTGCGTTTCTTCGGTGCTGCCATTTCTGGTGACTCGCGGTAAAAGTTTTTCTTTGCTTAATTTTGTTTAGTGGAGAAGCACGGTTTTCCGTGGCTGGCTCCATCTAGTGTTGAAACTGAGAAGTGCAACAGAGTTGAGCTCAAGCTTCTTGTGCGGGCCATATTCAATTATATTTTCAGAATTTGCTGCGGGCCAATAAAAACTGGACCGCGGGCCGCAGTTGGCCCGCGGACCGTAGTTTGGACACCCCTGCCCTAGAGCTTAGCAATCACGTCATCCAGAGAGCGGCCAGCAGTAATCAGTATCATGTCATCTGCAAAAAGATGTACCCTGGAATGATCCAGGTCGGTGCCCAAGTCATTGACATAAAGAGAGAACAAGAGGGGGCCGAGGATGGAACCCTGTGGAGCGCCTTTTGTTATCTTAACACTGTTTGACCTCCAACCATCTGTGAATACAGTTTGGGTGCGAGAAAAGAGGTAATTTTTTAACCATTTTACTGTGTTTTCGGAAAAACCGAGGCAGCTTAGTTTACTAAGCAGGGTGTTGTAGTCTACTGTATCATAAGCTTTGGACAGGTCAAGAAAAAGACAGGCACAGTACTGCTTATTATCAAGGCTAATGTAAATATGATTCAGAGAGTCTAATGCAGCAGATGTGGTGCTGTATTTTTTTCCGGAACCCAGATTGTTTTAGATGTAGTAGATTGTTTGTGGACAGGAAACTGCTAATTTGGTAGTTCAATAATTTTTCAAAAATTTTCATCAACGGGGACAAAATTGAGATAGGTCGGTAGTTATCTGGATCATCTTTAGGGCCCCCTTTGTGAAGTGGACAGACATAGGAATGTTTCCATTCTAGAGGAACTGATGCTTCTTTGATGGACAGTTTGAAAATGTGGGCTATAGGTTTGTATATTAGGTGACCAAAAGTTAGTAGATCAAAGACGGGAATACTATCTGCTCCGGTAAAGGAGGACCCTTTGAGGTTGGACAGTTGTTTCAGAACATTACTTTCGTGGATTGGCTGTAAACTAAATTTGTTTAATACTCTTTGGTTCTATTCGGTAAAGTCACGTAGGTAAAAAATAAAACGTGACTTTACCTAATAGAACCAAAGAGTATGGATCCTTGCAGTCACGAAAGCTTCAAATCTAGAATTAAATTTGTTTAATGTTTGGACAGGGGTGTAGGAATTTGCATGAGCAGGGGTGACTCCCAATAGATTATCAAAAAGATTACCAGCTTCAGAAAAATGAAGGTTAATATTGTCAACTATTTTTTGGGGATCTGAAAAATATTCCCCATTTCGGTTAAGCTCAACGGACAGATTGTCTGTTTTGGATGCCTTTTCGATACATTTGATTGTTTTCCAGAAAATCCTGGCATTTCCATGTGATTCCAGGAGAGTGGAGGAAAAGTAGGCATTTTTTGCATGCCTGATTTTTTTGACGCATCTATTCCTTAAAATCCTGTATTCTAGCCAGTCATTGACCAAATGACTTTTCTGAGCACATGCCCAAGCCTTGTCCCTAGTTTTCATGAGCTTTGTAATCAAAGGATAAAACCATGGAGGGCGGTTGCCTTTAGTTTTAAATCTAACCAACAGAGCATGTTTGTTAAGAATTTGGAGAAACGTGTACCTGAAGGTCTCCCAAGCCGTAGTCAGGTTGGGGATATCACAGACCTTGTCAATATCTGAGTGAAGCACATCATTAGTAAATGCCTGAGTGCTGAAGTGTCTCATAGAGTGCTTCTCACCCAATTTAGGGGGGGCTTTGGGTCTAGCTGATTATCTCACCCCAAAAATGAAGGAGTGATCACTAAGGTTATTACCCAGAACACCAGTCAGTGCGAAATTGTGAGGGGCATTTGTCAATAGGACATCAAGCAGAGATGACTGTTCCGGATTATTTAGGTTGGGTCTTGTGGGGACATTTATTAATTGAAGCAGGTTAAATTCATTTGTAAAATTTGTGGCCACGGCCGGCGGGTTTAGCCAATTCCAATTTAGATCACCCACTAAAACTTTCACCTTTAGGGAGGCCCCCAAAAAGGTCTCTCAGTGCAGATGCAGCTTCAACATCCTTCCCACTTGGTGGTCTATAGCAGCACACTACCAATATCTGTTGATTTATTTGGGAAGAGTTATTCTGAGAGCCAAACCTTCAAAGCATCACATTTTAAATAAGGAGTGAGCTGGTGAACATGCAATAGTGTTACGAACATAGATGGCAATTCCACCTCCTTTAGATCCTCGGTCAAGCCAAAACAGGTTGTAGTTGTCAATCGTAATCTCCAAGTCATTGACGGCAGGAGTGAGAAATGTTTCTGTTAGGCAAAAAATGTCTGGGTCAAGATTTGCCACTTCTAGTTTAGTTGACTTAATTTAATCACAAGCCCTTTGATGTTGACATGTAGAACACCAACACCTTTTCTGCCAGAAAAATTTAAGAGCAGAATGAAGTTTGGAAGGAGTGCTAGTGAAGTAATGGGACAAAGATAGGGTTTAAAAGGATACAATGATGGAGTGTAGAAGTGTCTATAAGCTGTTTCATTTGCAGGTATAGTGGCAAATCGAGCAACAAGTATGGATGCAAAGTGAGTGGTGAGTGAGTGAGCGGTGAGTGAGTGAGTGGTGAGTGAGTGGTGAGTGAGTGGGTTGGTGGATGGTGAGTGTGTGTGGTGAGTGGCTGAGTGGTGGGTGAGTGGATGGATGGGTGGGTGGGTGAGTGGGTGGGTGAGTGGGTGGGTGGGTGAGTGGGTGGGTGGGTGAGTGGGTGGGTGGGTGGGTGAGTGGGTGGGTGAATGGGTGGGTGGTGAGGCTGAACCTCTCTCCTTTTCTCTGCCCAGATGCCCCGCTACAATACCAGGAATTCCGGATCCACGATTGTGGATTCCGGATCCAAGATTCGGAGTTCTGGATCCACGATTCCAGATTCCGGTCCCAAAACTCGGAGTTCCGGATCAAAAATTCCAGATTCCGGATCCAGTATTCTGGATTCCGGAGGGAGCAGGAAGCGTCGCGCAGCAGAGGATCATGGGAGGCGGCTGGGTCATGTGACCCCCGTGATGACATCACCGGATACCAGTACAGGAGATCAACATCACTACCATCAAGATTACTTCCATTCACATCATTACCATCAACATGACTACCATCGCTGCCATCAACCAGCACTACCATCACTGCGATCAACATCACTACCATCAACATCACTACCATCTCTACCATCAGCATCTCTACCATCAGCATCACTACCATCACCATCACTAACATCAGCATCATTACCATCACTACCATCACCACCAGCACTACCATCACTACAACTATCACTTCCATTGACCTCACTACCATCAACATCACCACCACTGCAACTATCACGACCTTTCCCACCAACATCACTACTGTCACTACCACCATCACCATCACTACAACTATTACTACCACTCCCATCAACATCACTACCTCCATCACTACAACTATTATAACTTTAGTGACTTAATCAGAGACGCTGAGACTTGGAGGCACTTTTATTTAACCGAGAACCCTTTGCACAATACACACCCTACACACTCCTCTGTCGCTCAGTTATACACAACTCTACGTGGGTTGCTAGCCTATACACAATGCGAGCCGTCTAACACTGATGGCGCTGAACCGAGACGGCCAACTACCGTCTAGCAGCGCAATGTCGAGTGAAGACAACAGCGATGATGGCGACGATCTTCAACAGCACGACGGGGATCCCACTCCAAACGACAGCCCAGAGCTCTCGCTCAGGGCCCCCTTTTATGCTCCCAGCGTGGCCTCGCTCCGCTCCGGCCACGCCCCCTCTCTTGAACCTACTAGTGGATTCCAGGGCTTCCCCCACGTGCCCCTTCTGTAACCTTTCCCCCGATATCCCCTCTGGTGTATCACCTGGCCTGCTGACATCAGGGCTGCTGTAAACCGCAGATTCCCTTCCCCGCCAGCAGCCAGCACTATGCTGCTGCATAGCTAATTCTATATTCTTATTCTTAGCTCTTTCGGTAAAGTCACGTTGAAGGGAAACAATAAATAACCATCAACATTACTACCATCACCATCGGCTGTTCTCTCTTTCACAGAATGCACTTTGGTTCCTCGAGTCTCCATCTCGGACATCCTCTCACTAATCCTGTCGGACGAAACAGGTGATGGGGGTGGTGGTGGTGATCGAGGTTGGAGGTGGTGATTGAGGTGGTGGTGATGGAGTTGGTGGTGGTGATGGGGTTGGTGGTGGTGATGGGGTGGTGGTGATGGGATTGTTGATGATGGGGGTGGTGATGGAGTTGGTGGTGGTGATGGCGGTGGTGGGCAGGCCCAGGTAAGCTACATGGCTGGGAGTCGGAGCCATTCCCTGTTCACCTTTGGGTGTGACAGGGATGTCCTCTAGCTCCCACATTATTTTAAATTTTTAGACCACATAGTTCGAGAGGCCTTCTATGGCTCTACCGGAGGAATCTCCATCTGGTAGCGATGCAATGGAAGGCTGATCGATATCTGGGTGTGGTCAAGGTACGACTCCCTATTGGTCAACCATGTTATATATGCTGATGATCTGGTGATTGCTGCTCTCTCAGAGGAGGAGTTGGAGGCTGTGCTGCTGAACCTGGAGGGTGCCATTAAGAGGTAGGGTCTTACCATCGGCCCCACAAAAACTAAGCACCTGCCTGGGTATTTTGTGCCATCAAACACTCCACCCTCTCAACTCCCCATTGGTGATGGGGCAGTTGTGGAGAGAGTGAAGAGTTTTACTTACCTGGGCAGTATGGTCATGACGCGCTCCGGTTCTACATTAGACGTCTCACTCCGAATCAGTCGAGCGGCAGTGTCTTATTATTGGCTGGGTTTAACCAGGCTGAAATGTGTGAGCAGCTCACGAATCCTTGAAAAATCTGGATAAAGTCCCATTGGTGAGTTCCTCCGGCAGGCAAGGCTGTGTTGGCTGGATCATGTAGCCTATGCCCAGCCAACGCATGCCTAAACAGCTTTTGTTCGGCCAGGGAAGAGATGGAGTGATGTGGCACGTCAAGATGTGGAGCTGAGTGGACTTGCTGATGACTGGTACCAGCGGTGTCAAGATCTGCCTCTGTGAAGGAGGCTCGTGAAGGACGCTGATACTGGGCAGTTGGAGGCATTCGCCCTCCAGCAACAACGGAGGGCGGAGGAGCGACGCTCACAACAACGAGCGGAGCGCCGGGTGGCTAAGACACAGTAAGGTGGACCAGTAGGGGGCCACCTTACTGTGTAAGGTGGCCACTCATCTCAGTCAGTCGACCCATGGAACCTGCTGGGTCTGTCCTGTGACCTGTCAGCGAGCCTTTGACACTTCACGTGTCCTTATTGTGCACCTGGCCTGGCATAAGCACTGTGGTGACGTCAATATGGTGGCAAATGGCGGGTTTTGGTAATGATGTATGTCTATGTGATGTTGATGTATGTGGTGATGGTATTGATGTTCATGATGTAGATGATGGTTGTGATGTTAATGTAGGTGATGGATGTGATGTTGATGTAGATGATGGTCGTGATGGTGATGTAAATGATGGTCGTGTTGTTGATGTAGATGATGGTGATGATGATGGCACCCATCAGCAGTACTCCGTAAATCTCACCCCAACCTCAAGGAAGAGACTCGGCAATCAGCAGCATCAGCAGCAGCAATCGGACATCCTGAGGCTCGCCCCAGTCAGCTCCCCGTACGTCACTCACCCACTCACTCTACTACCCACTTACTCACCCACTCACTCACCTACCTACCCACTCACTCAGCTACTCGCCCACACACCTACCCACTCACCCACTCGCTCAGTCAGCGACTCAACCACACACCCACTCGCCCACCCACCACTCACCCACTCACCACTCACCCACCACTCACCCACTCACCACCCACTCACCACCCACTCATCCACTCACTCACCCACTCACTCACCCACCCACCCACCCACTCAATCACTCCTGCACCCACTCACCAATAACCCACCCACTCACCCATTTTTCCACTCACCCACTGATATTATGATGTTGCTGATGGTGATGTTGATGGTGATGTAGATGGTGATGGTGACGATGATGATGCTGTTGCTGATGATGTCACCATCTCCATATCTAGGTTACGAGTCAAAACAACTACATTTCAACCATCACGACCACCACCATCATCACTGCCACCACTACCATCATCACCACCATCACCACCACCACCATCATCATCGACATCACCACCACCGTCATCACCACCACCGTCATCACCACCATCATCACTATCACCATCGTCATCATCACCATCGTCACCCCCATCATCATCATCGCTGTCATCACCATCATCACCATCATCATCGGCATCATCATCTCCTGTCCCAGTTCGCCGTACCAAGAAAGTTTTACGCAAGCCTCAAACCAAGGTAGAGTCGAACTCCTCTTACCCAGCAGCCCTGTTAACGACTAATCGCTTAACAACGGGCCTCCATTGAGCCCAACATGTAGTGCATATTAGTGTGTAGTGAATAGTTATGTAATGTATAGTTGTATAGTGTATAGTGTGTATAATCGTGTGGTGTATAATAGTATATAGTAGTGCGATGTATAGTAGTGTAGAGTAGTGAAGGTTAATACAAAAATCGGAGAACCTTGCCCGGACAAGGTATAACGGGACACCCCCCCTGGAGCCAGGCCTGGGGGTGGTATTCGCCGGCTAGCACCTGGTGACTGGGTTACCCACAAAACCCGGTCAGGCCCAGCCCGACATGGCTACGTGGCGCCGTCATGTGGGCCCACCATCCGCAGGACGAAGGGCGAGGGCCGGGTGCGATGCCAGTATGGCAAGGAAGAGGGATGGTCTCACACAGACTGGACCTTGGCGATGGACACTTGTTAATCGGACGTGGAATGTCACATCACTGGGGGGGGGAAGGAGCCAATGTTGGTGGAGGAGGTGGAAAGGTACCGACTATACAAAGTCGATCTTGATTTGAAGCCTTCGTGACTGCAGGAATCCACACTCTTTGGTTATTTCGGTAAAGTCATCACGTAGGTTTAAAATAAAATAAATCCGACCATGCTGCTGAGGCAGCAGACCATGCTTTCCCTCCTGATGACGGACGCTTGTGTTGTGCCCGAAACGTCGTGATTTATTTTATTTTATACCTACCACGTGACTTTACCGAAAGAACCAAAGAGTATATAGAGTCGGTCTCACCACACACAGCATTGGCACTGGAAGCAAACTTCTCGATTGGGGGGTGGTCTCCTATTCCGGAGTAACCCCTGGTAAGAGGCCCTGGGTAGGTGTGGGGATATTCATAAGCCCCCGGCTTGGTGCTGTTCAGTTGGAGTGTATCCTTGTGGATGAGAGGGTCGCCTCAATGAGACTTAGGGTCTCAGAAAGGAAAACTCTTGACTGTTGTCTGTGCTTATGCACCAAACAGCAGTTCAGAGTATTTGGTCTTGAAGAGCATTGAAGTCAACTCGGCGACTTCAATGCTCTACTTGGTTTTTTCGGTAAAGTCACGTAGGAGGGAAATAATGAAGATAAAACAATATATTGAGTACATTGATTTTATTGATGTAAAGTCACGTAGAAGGGAAATAAAAAAATAAAAAATAAAACAATGGAATGTTTTATTTTTAAACATAATACAATGTTTTATTTTTAAACATTGTATTATGTTTTATTTTTAGTATTTTATTATTTTCCTTCTACGTGACTTTACATCAACAAAATCAATGTACTCAATATATATTATGTTTTATCTTTAATAAAAATGAAACATAATACAATGTTTTATTGTTATTATTTTATTATTTTCCTTCTACGTGACTTTACATCGATAAAGTCAATGTACTCAATATATATTATGTTTTATCTTTAATAAAAAATAAAACATAATACGATGTTTTATTTTTAGTATTTTATTATTTCCCTTCTACGTGACTCCACCGAAAGGACCAAGAAGATGAATCCCTGCAGTCACGAAAGCTTTAAATCGAAATATATTGACGTAGTTTTATTTAGTTATTTCACATCGGTTTATTGTATGATAGTTGGGTAGTTGCAGTTCTTTAGCATCAATATACTAAATGCCTCTGTTGATATGTAAACTCTGACTTTAACAAAGCCACTTCTGTGACCAGTTACATGATAATTCCTCACATTAACATCATGCTAATCTCCCAGTTACATGTTAATTTATCATCTTAACATCCTGCTAATCGCTTAGTACCTTTCAGTGTAATGTTTAATATAATTTATAAGGTAATATATACTATCGTAATTGTATATACAGCAGTGTGGTATACAGTAGGGTTGGTAGAATAATACATAGTGTGATATTACAAGTCTAATATTATTATAATCTAAGGTATAGGGTAGTGTATAGTAATGCAGTGTATAATTCAATGTTGGGGTCTGTCTATGGTAGTTTATAATAAAAAAAAGTTTAGTTGGAGACACATTAAAATTATTTTTGCGACATAGAAGTGTAATGTATAATGACTTTTCGATTTGAAGCTTTCGTGACTGCAAGGATTCATCTTCTTTGGTTCTTTCGGTAAAGTCACGTAGAATGAGAATAAAATAATAAAATAACACAATAAAATTCTCACGACGTTTCGGGCACAACGCAAGCGGCCGTCTTCAGGTGAAAGGTACAGAACTGTCGGGACGAAATGTCGTGAGAACTTTATTGTGTTATTTTATTATTTTATTCTCATTCTACGTGACTTTACCGAAAGAACCAAAGACGGTTAGTAGCTCAGCTTATTGGAGAGTATATTGAGTGTATTGATTATATTGATGTAGTTTATATTTAGTTTTTTCACATCGGTTTATCGTATGGTAGTAGGGAAGTTTCAGTTCTTTAGCGTCAATATGCTAAATTCTTCTCTTGATATGTAAACTCTGACTTTAACATAGCTACTTCCGTGACTAGTTACATGCTAATTCCTCACATTAACATCATGCTAATCTCCCAGTTACATGCTAATTTCTGACTTGAACATCCTGCTAATCTCTCATTAACATAGCTCCTTCAATGCTAAATTATTCTGTTGATATGTAAGCTCTGACTTGAACATAGCTATTTCCGTGACTAGTTACATGCTAATTCCTCACATTAACATCATGCTAATCTCCCAGTTACATGCTAATTTCTGACTTGAACATCCTGCTAATCTCGTTCACATTAACATAGCTACTTCAATGCTAAATTATTCTGTTGATATGTAAACTCTGACTTTAACATAGCCACTTCCGTGACTAGTTACATGCTAATTCCTCACATTAACATCATGCTAATCTCCCAGTTGCATGCTAATTTCTGACTTGAACATCCTGCTAATCTCGTTCACATTAACATAGCTACTTCAATGCTAAATTCTTCTGTTGATATGTAAACTCCTTTGTCAAGGCACTCTGCTCCTCCCACCCAGCTTAAAAGACGCTGCCAAGCTTAGCGGTGTTCAATGGAGCGCTGTCTTTCCGACAGCTCTGTTTCTTCACCTGAGGACGGCTGCTTGTGTTGTGGCCGAAACGTCGTGAGAATTTTATTTTCTGTTTAATTTTTATTCTTTTATTGTTTCCCTTCTACGTGACTTTACCGAAAGAACCAAGAAGATGAATCCCTGCAGTCACGGAAGTTTTAAATCGAGACTTCAATGCTCACCTGGGAAATGATGCAGATACCTGGAGAGACATGATTGGGAGGAATGGCCCCCCTGATCTGAACCCAAACGGTGGGGTGTTATTGGAATTCTGCGCTGGTCATGGAATGCCAACAACAAACACCAAGTTCGAACACGAGGATGCTCATAAGTGTACTTGATACCAGAGCACCTTGACCCGTAGGTCAATAATTGACTTTATGGATGTATCATCAGACCTAAGGACGTGTGTTCTGGACACTTGGGTGAAGAGAGGGGCAGAGCTGTCAACCGATCACCACCTGGTGGTTAGTTGGATCCGATGCTTGGGGCACCGACCAGATGGACGTGGAAGGCCAAAATGAATAGTGCGGATTTTCTGGGAACATTTGGCGGAAAGACCCAGCGCAGAAAGAATTCAACTTCCACCTCTGGGAAAACGTCTCCTGCACTCCATGGGAGGTTGCGGACATTGAGTCTTGAGAGGACGATGTTCAGGACCTCGATTGTTGATGGAGCGACGAAAATCTGAGGCCTGAAGGCAGTTGGTGCCTGTCATGGCGGCAACCCTAGGGACCCGCTGGTGGACACCGGTGGTGAGGGAAACTGTCAAATCAAAGAAGGAGGCTTTCTGATATATGCTCGGTAAAAGGTCTCCCGACTCGATTGAGAGGTACCGGCTTGGCAAGAGGACGGCAGTGGTAGCAGTCGCTAAAGCGAAAGTTCGAGCATGGGAGGACTTTGGAGAGGCCCTGGAGAGGGACGGCGTCAAAGATGTTCTGGCAAACCATCCGATACCTTAGGATGGGTCGACGGGACGTGGCCCAGGCTGTTTTCAGTAAGCGTGGTGTAAGATTGACCTCGACTAAATAGATAGTTGAGAGGTGGAAGGAACACTTTGAGGAGCTCCTCAAAACGGTGGAGATACCCTCCTCTCAGGAGGCAGCCCTGGAAACAGCTGGGGGGATCAGATCCATCACGGTTGCTGGAGTCGTTGCGGCAGTTGAGGGCCTTCGTAGCAACAAAGCTGCTGGGGTGAACGAGATTCGCCCAGAGTTGTTGAAAGCACTGGACAGTGTAGGAGCGTCGTGGTTAACACACCTCTTCAATGTTGCATGGAAAGTAGTACAGTACCTCTGGACTAAAACAACTGGGGTCGTGCTCTAACTACAGAGGAATGACAATTCTCAGCGTCCCAGGTAAAAAGCCTATGCCAGAGTGCTGGAGAAGAGGCTCCGCCCAGTGGTCGAGCCTCAGATTCAGGAAGAACAATGCGGATTCCGTCATGGTCATGGAACAATGGACCAGCTCTTGAGGGGCCATGGAAGTGTTGCGCCATACCAAGGTGCTGTATGTCGTCTTACTGTCACCACGCTCACAGGCCGATCGGGGGCGGCCGGGAGAGTGAGCGGGAGGTGTAGTGGTTAACCTGGGGTAAACCCCCCCCCCCGGGGGCCCTGTGACCGGAGGTAGAGACCCCAGACCCCCAAGGGGTGGGGGCTGGGGGCCAACGGTTCATTCTTGACCCTTCCAGACTCTTCTAGAAGGTTCGAGGGAAGGTGTGGCTAGGGGCGGGGTAAGCCCCAACTGGTGTATAAAAGCCGGTCCTCTCAACGTGACCGGCAGCCTTCGTCCCCTCAAGACCCAAAGACATCTGAAGACTAGACCAGCACCATGGGACCCTCAACCGAGGCTCTTGTAAGAGCCGGGTTGCAGTGGACCAGCGGTGTGACCGGCACCCTGGTTAGGTCGGGTCAGGCTAGCCTCCCCTAGCTCCTGTAGTGGAGGACCCGCGAGAGCGTAGCCCGGAGTCTGTAGGGCCTGCTTGAAGGGAGGCTGTACCTCCCTTAGGTTATCGGGTGACGGGGCTGTACCCCGTAGTGTTACAAGGGCCATAGCCCTTAGTGTTACGGCTATTGTTATCGTTTATCTCAATTAAAACGCGTTGCCTCCATGAGAGGTCTCCCTCGAAGTTTTTACCCACAACAGAAGTATTCTTCTCCAGTCTACCTCTGCTTTGTAGACTTGGAGAAAGCATATGACCATGTTCCCCGCAATGTCTCGTGGGAGGTGCTGCCAGAGTGTGATGGACCAGTGCCGCTTTTGTGGTCCATCCGGTCCTTCTATTACCGGAGTGAGAGCTGTGTCCATATTCTTGGTGCTAAATCAAATTAATTCACTGTGGATGTTGAACTCCGAGGTATGGAGAGTATCTGGTTATGGGGGCATGGAGGTGGCATCGCTGCTTTTTGCAGGTGACGTCCTCTTTGCCCCGTCAGTCTGTGATCTTCAGCGTGCACTTGAACAGTTTGATGCCGAGTGTGAACCAGCTGGGATGAGGATTGGCACCTCCAAATCTGAGGTCACGGTTCACTTCCTGGAGACGGTGGATTGTTCTCTCCAGATAAGGGGGGAACAGCTGCCCTTAGTGGAAGAGTTTAAGTGCCTGGGGGTCTCTTTAGCGAGTGATGGTAAGTGGGTGCGGGAGATCGGCCGGCAGATCGGTGCGGTGTCCACGGTGTTTGGGCTGCTGTACCTTTCTGTGGTAGTGAAGCGGGAGCTGAGTTCTTGAACAAAGATCTCAGTTTACAGGTCAATCTACATTCCCACCCTCACTTATGATCAGGAGCTTTTGGTAATGACAGGTTGAGATCGCGGGTACTAGGGGGCCGAAATGAGGTTTCTCCGCAAGGTTTTGCCGGGCTCCCTCACCGTGATCGGGTGAGGAGCTCGGTAATCTGGGAGAGCCTCAGAGTCGAGCTGCTTCTCCTCCGGATTGATAGGAACCAGTTGAGGTGGTTCGGGCACCTGGTAAGGGTGCCCACTGGGCGAAAACCCCAGGGCCGGCCCAGGACACACTTGCAGGACTATGTTGCTCGGCTGGCCTGGGAACGCCTGGGAATTCCCCAGGAAGAGCTAGAGTCTGTCGCCAGGGAAAGGGAGGTCTGGACCGCCCTACTCAACTTGCTGCCGCCACGACCCTCACTAGGATGAAACAAACAGTTGTGTAGAGTAGAAGACCTCTTAACGATCACCCCTCTTAACGACTAACCGTTTAACAACGGGCATCCGTAGAGTAGTGTATAGTGTAGTGTATAGTGTGGAGTAGTGTATAGTAGGGAGCTCAATGTGTTCGCTTAATGACCATTCCCTTCTAAAAGACAGTTATAGGTACGATAAATATTAATTGTGTGTTGATAATGTTGCTGCCATCTTTACGTAGTAATAAATATTGATTCAATATTATTAAGTACGTTTTTAACGTGTCTATGCTATCCTCGCTTAACGACCAAATCACTTAACGAGAGATTCTTCTCTCGTGTATTTTAATTTTTTTTAAATCTCGTATTAATAGTTATACACCGAATGAATATGAATGTTTATAGACCTAACGAATATAAAGCTTATAGACCTTATGAATGTTAATATTTATAGGCCTAATTAATGTCAGTGTTTATTGACCTAATGTTATATTAATGTTTATAGGCCTTATACATATTAATTTACATTAACCTCATGAACAGTAACAAACATTGACCTTATTAATATTACACCTCATGAATATTAGATCTATGATGCAAATTAATGGCATGAACATGCCTGTGTATTAATCGCATTGATATAAATTATTACCCCACGTGATATTAATGAGCATTCACCTAATACATGCTCAACGGTATTAACATAATGATGATTAATGGGTGTTGCTCTAAGGAATATAAGTCCATATTAACATTACTATTAATTAGTTTTCTAATGAACATTGGTGCATAATCTTACGTGTAATAATAATAGCTTGTCTAATGAATAGCAGTGGACATTCTGCTGAATAGTCTAATGGATATTAACAAACATCCGAATTAATATTAATGATGATGTGTGTATACGTGGATGCCCGAAATGATATGAATGAGTATTCATTATTCTGTACAGGCACAAAAAACCAAGACCACTCGAACACCTAAACTGCCTTCAAGGACCCAAGCGCTGAAGACAGAAACCGGGTCTGTGGCTCCCCCTGTCTCCCCGTGTCTCCCACGTGTCTCCCCGTGTCTCTCCGTGTCTCTCCGTGTCTCCCACGTGTCTCCCACGTGTCTCCCCGTGTCTCCCCGTGTCTCCCCCGTGTCTCCCCCGTGTCTCCCGTGTCTCTCCGTGTCTCCCCCATGTGTCTCCCGTGTTTCCCCGTGTTTCCCCGTGTCTCTCCGTGTCTCCCCTGTCTCTCTGTGTCTCCCCGTGTCTCCCCGTGTCTCCCCGTGTTTCCCCGTGTCTCCCCGTGTCTCCCCGTGTCTCCCCTGTGTCTCTCCCGTGTCTCCCTGTCTCTCCGTGTCTCCCTGTGTCTCCCCTGTCTCTCTGTTTCTCTCCTATGTCTCTCCGTGCCTCTCCGTGTCTCCCCTGTCTCTCCATGTCTCTCCATGTCTCCCCGTGTCTCCCCTGTCTCTCCATGTCTCCCCGTGTCTCTCCGTGTCTCCCTGTGTCTCCCTGTGTCTCCCTGTGTCTCACTTTGTGTCCCCCTGTCGCCCCTGTGTTTCACTCTGTCTCCCCCAGGCCGTCCGTGTCTCTGCCGTGTCTCCCTTGCAGGGAGTCGGAGTTCCACGAGATTTTGGATTTTGTGGAGAGTAAACTGGACACTCTGAGTGGAGGGTGAGCTACCATCGTCATCAATATCACTATCAACATCATCACAATTACTACCACCATCACTACCATCAACACTATCAACATAATCGCCACCACCATCACCTTCATCACTAATGTAGCATCTTTGACAAGCATTGTATATACTCACCTGTAGTAGCAGACTTGTGTCCATAGGGGGTGGTAACTCAGGATGGGTAGGATGAGCCGGGCCGTTGGGACACGAGGTTCTCCCAGCCCCAAGAGAGGGGTTGGGGGGATATTCCAGAGCCACCTGGAGAGTTCCAGAAGGAGGGTGTGGCCAGGGGCGGAGAGACCCTGGCAGGAGTCTAAAAGCCGGACCTCTGGACGAGTCCGGCAGTCTTCTTCAAGCTGAAGAAAGAAGACCCCAGCTCGGCGAGGACCCTGGGAACCCCCAGACCCGACGTCCTTCTAAGGGCCGGGGCTGTAGTGGGCCAGTGGCCGGGACCCGTGGACCTTGGCTGGGTCAGGTCAGATAGCCTCCCCTTAGGTCCCCTTAGCCGGAGGGTTGAGAGTACTCGCCCCAGTGATAGGACACGCTAGCCCGGAGGTAATACCTCCTTGGGTATCGGGTGGAGGGGCCGCTACCCCTCTGTGTTAGGGACCCGTGTATCACGCAGTTGTATTGAATAAACGTGTTGCCTCAAGCGCTCCGTCTCCAGTCTTCTTGGACCCAATATTATTAACACCTTCACCATTACTATCAACATCACCATCACTATTAACAACATCACCGTCATCACTACCATTAGCACCACTACCATCAACATCACCATCAACATTAATAACAACACCACCGTCATCACTATCATCATCAACTCACCGTGTCTCCCCGTGCCCCGTGTCTCCCCCGTGTCTCCCCCTATCACCCCGTGTCTCCCCCATGTCTCCCCCGTGTCTCCCCCTATCACCCCGTGTCTCCCCCGTGTCTCCCCCGTGTCTCCCCCGTGTCTCCCCCATGTCTCCCCCGTGTCTCCCCCTATCACCCCGTGTCTCCCCCGTGTCTCCCCCGTGTCTCCCGCGTGTCTCCCCCGTGTCTCCCCCGTGTCACCCCATGTCTCCCCCTGTCACCCCGTGTCTCCCCCGTGTCTGCCCCGTGTCTCCCCCGTGTTTCCCCCTGTCACCCCGTGTCTCCCCCTGTCACCCCGTGTCTCCCCCGTGTCTCCCCCGTGTCTCCCCCGTGTCTGCCCCGTGTCTCCCCCGTGTCTCCCCCTGTCACCCCGTGTCTCCCCCGTGTCTTCCCCGTGTCTCCCCCGTGTCTGCCCCGTGTCTCCTCCTGTCACCCCGTGTCTGCCCCGTGTCTCCCCCCCTGTCACCCCGTGTCTCCCCCGTGTGTTCCCCCGTGTCTCCCCCGTGTCTCCCCCCGTGTCACCCCAGGTGTATGTTTATCTCTGGCGTCCCGGGGACAGGAAAGACTGCCACCATCCGAGCCGTGCTTTCCTACCTCGTGGACCAGGCGGGGCCCCGGGGAGACGAGGCGCTCACCGTTGTCTCCATCAATGCTATGGAGCTCACGGAACCCAGACAAGTCTATAGCAAGCTGCTGAAGGTGGCTCCTCCTCTCTCTGTCTGTCTCTGTGTCTGCACTGTCCCCAATGTCTCTGTGTCTCCATTTGTCTCTGTGTCTCCACTGTCTCCATCACTCATCCAGTCACCCACCCACTCACTCACCACCCTGCTCACTCACTCACCCATCCACTCACCCCCACACTCACCCCCTCACCCACTCACTCCCCCACTCACCCCCCCCAGTCACTCCCCACCCACTCACCCTCCCACTCGCTCACCCTCCCCAGTCACTCACCCCCCCCACTCACTCACCCCCACACTCACCCCGTCACCCACTCACTCCCCCACTCACTCACCCCCACACTCACCCCCTCACCCACTCACTCCCCCACTCACCCACTCACTCACCCCCCCAGTCACTCCCCAACCACTCACCCCCCCACTCACCCCCCCCAGTCACTCACGCCCCCCACTCACTCACCCCCCCAGTCACCCTCCCACTCATCCCCTCACCCACTCCTCCACTCACCCCCCCAGTCACCCCCCACCCACTCACCCCCCCCACTCACTCACCCCCCCACTCACTCACCCCCACACTCACCCCCTCACCCACTCACTCCCCCACTCACCCCCCCAGTCACTCCCCACTCACTCACCCCCCCCCACTCACTCACCCCCCCCCCCCACTCACTCACCCCCCCCCCAACTCACTCACCCTCCCACTCACTCGCCATACCCCTCTCACTCACCACCCACTCACTTACCCCCTCAATCACCCACTTACCCCCCCATTCACCCCCTACTTACTCCAACTTCCCCCCCCCTCCCCACTCACCCACCCCGTGACTCAGGCGATGAGCGGTGAGCGAGCCGCTCCGTCGCGTGCCGCCCAGATTCTCAACGAGCTCTTCGCTCGACGCAGCAAGAGATCCGTGCTGCTCATCCTTGACGAGGTGAGGAATACCGCTCACCATACATTCACCCACTCACTCAGACGTCCACCCACTCACACACCCACTCAGCTAACCATCCACTCACTCACCCACCCAATCACTCAGCCACCCATGCACCACTCACTCACCCACTTACCATCCATTGACCAACTCACTCAGACACCCACTCACTCACCAACCCACTCACACCCACTCAGCTACCCACCCACTCACTCAGCCACCCATTCACCTACTCACCCACCGACTCACCTCAACCACCCACTCACGACCCATTTACTCACTCAGCTACCCACCCACTCACTCAGCCACCCATCACCTACTCACCCACTCACTCATCCACCACCCATTCACCTACCTACCCACTCACTCATCCACCACCCATTCACCTACCCACCCAATCACTCAGCCACCCACGCACCACTCACTCACCCACTTACCATCCATTGACCAACTCAATCAGACACCCACTCACTCACCAACCCACTCACTCCCACTCAGCTACCCACCCACTCACTCAGCCACCCATTCACCTACTCACCCACCGACTCACCTCAACCACCCACTCACGACCCATTTACTCACTCAGCTACCCACCCACTCACTCAGCCACCCATCACCTACTCACCCACTCACTCATCCACCACCCATTCACCTACCTACCCACTCACTCATCCACCACCCATTCACCTACCCACCCAATCACTCAGCCACCCACGCACCACTCACTCACCCACTTACCATCCATTGACCAACTCAATCAGACACCCACTCACTCACCAACCCACTCACTCCCACTCAGCTACCCACCCACTCACTCAGCCACCCATTCACCTACTCACCCACCGACTCACCTCAACCACCCACTCACGACCCATTTACTCACTCAGCTACCCACCCACTCACTCAGCCACCCATCACCTACTCACCCACTCACTCATCCACCACCTATTCACCTACCTACCCACTCACTCATCCACCACCCATTCACCTACCCACCCAATCACTCAGCCACCCACGCACCACTCACTCACCCACTTACCATCCATTGACCAACTCACTCACTCACCAACCCACTCACACCCACTCAGCTACCCACCCACTCACTCAGCCACCCATTCACCTACTCACCCACCGACTCACCTCAACCACCCACTCACGACCCATTTACTCACTCAGCTACCCACCCACTCACTCAGCCACCCTTCACCTACTCACCCACTCACTCATCCACCACCCATTCACCTACCTACCCACTCACTCATCCACCACCCATTCACCTACCTACCCACTCACTCAGACACCCACCTATTTACACAACCACTCGCAGAGTTTGGCTATTTCCTCCAATGTCTGGGTGAGTGGGTGACTGATTGAGTGGGTGAGTGGATGGCTGAGTGAGTCCGTGAGTGGTTATGTGAGTAAGTAAGTAGGTGGGTGTGTAAGTGGTTAACTGGGCGAATGGGTGAGCGAATAGTTGAGTGGGTGGGTGAGCGAGTAGGTGAATGGGTGGGTAAGTAGGTGAGTGGGTAGGTGAGTGAGTGGGTAGCTGAGTGACCTTCTTTGTGTGTAGCTGGACCTGTTGGTGACCAGGAGAGGTGAGTGAGTGAGTGGTGGTTGCGAAGCCTCGGATATCGGAGGAAGTTGCCAAACCCTGTGAGTGCGTTACTGGGTGAGTGGATGTATGAGTGCGGGGGGAGTGGGGAAGTAGGCGAGTGGTTCAGTGAGTGGATGAGTGAGTGGGTGGGTGGGTGTGTGGTTGAGTGAGTGGGCAGGTGAGTGAGTGGACAGGTGAGTGAGTGCATGGGTGGGTGGTTGAGTCAGTCCAAGGATCGTCACCTTGTAGTGGTGGAAAGGTTCGTGTGTTTCAATGAACCCGAGAGCAATGCCCTCCGGAGAATTTGCTTCTGGTAGGGTCACCCATGGCGGTAAGTTCGAGGTCCCAGACTAAGTGCGATCCAAAAATTGTGTTGGGGGGGACACACATTCGGCCGACTTTAAAAATGGAAGATTGTGGCAGCCCCCTTGCAGGCCTGCTCACCTGAAGGCTGTCTCGAGTTTTCTCTCTTGCCACCGGAACAGCGCAGGGCTATTGCGTCTGCCATAGAAGCCCTCTGGCGACAGGACAGAGTGACAGGGGCAGGTCATGGATGTGACTGTGGGGAGCTTCTAGCTGGAGTCCCACACAGAGTCGGGGCGCGTGTTTGATATCCGTTGTCGGCAACTGCTCGTGTGACCGAGCAGTTCTCTTAAGGGTCCGCACTGCTCACCCCTCAATGGGGTAGGGTCTATAAAAAGGTGACCTGACCATTGCCCCTTCTTCCCACACCTGGGCGGCTAACCGCAGCCGTCAAGGAAATCCCCCCTTGCACGGTCGAAAATCAAAACCTACTGAAATGATGGATCTGGGCTACCTGGAATGTACGCACTCTCATTGACGTTCGGGATGGAACAGAAGGACCTCGCAGACGGACTGCCCTTGTTGCACACAAACTCAAAAAGAGGCACAATGTTGATATTAAAGCACTAAGTGCAACCCAGTTCCCCTGGCGAAGACTACCTGACGGAGGTCAGCGAAGGTTACACCTTCTGGAAGGGCCTTCTGAGAGATGCCCATGGACTTCATGGAGGTGGCTTTGCTGTCAGAAGCAAACTACTCCGCAACATCCCTGAGTCTTACAGGATCAGTGAAAGGCATTATGACCTGGCACACCCCACTCGTGAAAGGCCGTTTTGGCACTCTCATAAGTGCCTACGCTCCCACCCTGGATGCAGATGACAACGCCAAAGACGCCTTCTATGATTCCCTTGATGCTGCACTATCCAGAATCCCTCGCTCGGACAGACTGGTTCTCATGGGTGAGTTTAACTCCGGAGTGGGCACCGATGCCAGGCTCTGGCATGGAGTTATTGTAAATCACGGCATCGGAAAATTAAACGACAATGGCCCAATATTCCTCTTGCTGTGCTGCGAACACAAATTGGTCACAACAAATGCATTCTTTCAAGTGAAAAACAATCCCAAAACATCTTGGATGCACCCCCGCTCCAAACGCTGGCATCTGTTGGACTACTTCATCACTCGCCAACAAGACCAAAACCATTTCTCCGTAACCCAGGCCATGCGCGGAGCCGAATGCCGGACCGACCATAGGTTTATCGGATGAAAGTTCAACATCAAGATCCGTTTACCACACAAAAAGCAGCAGCCTCAAAAATGACAACCTTGAATCTCCAAACTTCTTGTCAAACTTCCAAATCTGGCTGTCGCCTGATGAAGCTAGTTGTGCTTACTGGCGAAATGTCGTTCTCAGATTGTAAATGCTGTGGCTTTGCTCTCCAACACACCGGTTCGTTGTACTAGTGTAGAGGACTAGTTGCGGACATGACGTCACGCTCGCCTCCAGGGGCGATGACGTCACGGGAGGTGGCGTCATGCGCGCCTGCGGGCGGGATGACGTCATGTCCCGCAGCGAGACTTAAACGGGAGCCCGTGACGTAAGTGGGGTCGTAGCTGGAGACAAGGGACTGAGCAGGGTGGAATGGAGGGCCAGGACCCAGCCTAGGACCCTCTCCCATTGTGGGGAAGTGTATCCCCGTGTTTTACTGGCATCAGCCCTTAATAAACTACCGGCACAAGCCCTTAACCTTCACCTCCGTCTCCGAGTCGTCAGGAACTCTTCTGCGCTAGTAACGAATTGGCATGTTCTGTTTATGTGACAACCCTTACCAATTGGCTGTGTTGGGTGGTGGCGGGTTCAACGACATATTTAGGCCATCTAACCCAAAAAAAAACCTGTTGTGGATGATATTGGTCACGAAAGCCTCCGTGTTAAAGTTCCACAGCAGACTGTCCTGACGGGCTTACTGCCGCACTCGAGGACGGCCACCAGTGTTGACGGCGCCCTCCACATGGACAGCGAATGGTCAAAGCTGAGCTCAACCATGGACCAAGCTGCCTCCCAGACAATTGGCTTCACCCAAAACACGTCACCAGGATTGGTTTGACGACAGCTCCCCTGAAATACGGGGGAGCTCCTAGAGGCAAAATGCAAAGCCCACATTGCTTACCTCTCCAATCCCCAGTCTTGCTCTCTTCTCTCTCGCTGGGAAGCCATGCGGGTGCGGAGACTCGGAGAAGATTCCGGTTCATGGAAAACGAGTTGGTGGCTCAGGGAAGCTCAAGAAATCCAGAGCTACGCAGACACCAACAGTGCCCATGCAATTTTACAATGCTGCCAAGTCACTTGTACAACCCTCAGAAACAAAACATCACCCCGGTAAGATCAGCAGACGGCTCTGCGCTACTCAAGGAGAAACGGCAAATCATTGAGCGCTGGGCAGAACACTTTGACACACTCCTTAATAAAAAAAAAACCTCTGATCACTCTGTCCGAGATGCCCTCAACCTTATCTCAGTAGCCTTTGATAGACTGCACTCTCAAGTCTTTGAGAACAACAATCTAAAGACACCAACGAAAGTTGCCGTCTACCTGGCAGTCTGCATGTCAACGTTACCCTATGGCAACCGACCGCTCTCACATCAGATGCCTGCCTCGAGGCTTTCAACATCAGATGCTTGAAACGGATTCTTGGCCTCACTTGGGAGGATCCTGTACCTCACGTTGATATCCTCCAGCGTACTGAGACCATCAGCATGGATGTAACGCTAGCAAAGAGGCAACTCCGCTGGGTGGGCCACGTCATTCGGGTGCCTGGCAGTCGCCTACCTCGTCAGGTTCTCTGTGGACAACTCCCGCCAGCCAGCAGAAGACTGGGCAGTCAAAAACTGAGGTATAAGGTTCAGCTGAAGGGGACACTGAAGAGGTGCAACATCAAGCTTAGCGACCTTGAGGCAGCTGCAGCCGACAGCCTACTAAGGCACTCCTTATGCGACACAGGGGTCAAACACATCAACAGCGCAGACACCAACACGCTGTACCAGAACCATCCCAGGCCTTACATCTGCCAGCTGCGGCAGGATATGTGGCTCTAGGATTGGGCTTCGTAGCCATCTGCAGTGGCATCATCGCCGGTGGCGATAGCCACTAGCAAATACTTTTACCAACAAACAATGTAAACAACGTTATCTTCGTATCGATGGACTGCCATAAGTAAGGGTGGGTGGGTGAGTGGTTCGGTTAAGGAGTGAGTTTGTGGGCGGGTGAGTGGGATTGTTGGTGAGTGAGTGGGTTTGTTGGTGAGTGCGTGAGTAGTTCTCTTGGTGAGTGAGTAGGTCAGTGGGTGAGGTGGGTGGGTGGGTCAGTGAGTGACTGTGTGGGTAAGTGAGTGGGTGAGTAGTTCAGTGACTCTCTATGTGTGTAGCTGGACCTGCTGGTGACAAGGAGGCAGGACCTGCTCTACTCACTCAGTGATTGGGCTACCGGAGGCTCCTCTTGCCTCATTCTCCTCGCCATTGCCAACACCTTGGACTTGCCTGAGAGGGTGATGCTCACCAGGGTGAGCAGCCGGCTGGTAAGTGTCGCTCGCACCGTAGCTCCTCACCCACTCACCAACTCACTCACCCACTCACCCACTCACTCACCCACTCACCCACTCACCCACCCACCCACCAACTCACTCGCCCACCCACTCACCAACTCACTCGCCCACCCACTCACTCACTCAACCACCCACTCACCCATCCACCCACACTCACCCACCCACCCACTCACTTACTCACAACAACAACCGCCATTCAACACTAAGTGGCAGTGACATCACCACTCCACTTGTGGCAGGCTATGTGCACGTTAAGGCCACGTCAAGTGCCGAACGCTCGCTGGCAGGAGGTCACGAGACACACTCAGGTGCCATGGGTTGACCGACTGAGATGACTGGATGATGCACCAGCTGTGCCCCCTACTGTGCCAACTTGCTGTGCTTTAGCCACCCGGCGCTCCGCTCGTTGTGAGCGTCACTCTTCTGCCCTCCATTGTTGCTGGATGGCGACTGCCTCCAACTGCCCAGTAGCGTCCTTCACGAGCCTCCTCCACAGAGGCCGATCTTGACACCGCTGGTACCAGTCATCGGCAAGTCCACTCAGCTCCACATCCTCTTGTACCACATCACTCCATCACTCCATCTCTTCTCTAGCCCATACCGTACTCGTTTTGCCCCCTCTATCTGGTGAAACAAAAGCTCTTTAGGCATGTGGTGACTGGGCATGTGGGCTACTTCACCCAGATAACGCAGCCTTGCCTGCCGCAGGAACTCACCAATGGGACCTTGCCCCGATCATTCAAGGATTTGTAAGCTCCTCGCACAATCCAGCCTGCATAAACCCAGGACGGATCGTATGCAGGCCAGCCGAAATGTTTCTAACCGGCGAAGATGTTCCTTTAGGGGGGGTCCAGGTTTCGCAAGCATAGAGAAAGAAGGGCTCCTCTCTAAGTAAGCAGCAATCACCAGATCATCAGCATACATAACATGGTTGAGCAATGGGGAACCAGCCCTTGACCGCACCCAGGCATCGATCAGTTTCCCTTTAACATCTATCTACGTGGTCGAAGTAGATGTTCAATAATGTGGGAGCCAGAGGAAATGCCTGTCGCACCCCAAGGTGAATAGAGAATGGCTCCAACTCCTAGCCACGTAGTTTTACCCGGGCCTGCCCACCATCATGAAGGTACTTAATGATAGTGAACAGAGAGTCAGGTACTCCGAAAACACGAAGAACAACCCAGAGCCCAAGCCTACTGATGGTATCATAGGCCTTGACCAGTTCAACAAAGCAGAGATGTAGGTCTTGTTGGTATTCCCGACACCTCTGCTATTGCAGACGGACGGAAAATATGGCATCTGTGCAGGACCACCCTTTCCTGAAACCACAATCGGGCTCCGCAAGCCTTTCCTCAGCGTGCCTGGCAAGGCCATGTTGAATAATCCTTGCCAGGACCTTTCCCGACACACTTAGCAGGGAGATGCCCCTATAGTTGTTGCAGTTTGTGTGGTTCCCCTTCTTAAAGAGTGGGAATAGCAGGGCATCCTTACAATCCTGCAGAACCCATCCTGTGGTCCAGACTGTTATTATGATCTCATATAGGGCAGTCTGTGCAAAAACACCACCATCCCTCAGCATTTTGCTTGGAAGCTCATCTCTGCCAACCACTTTTCCTGAGCTCAGACTCTGGATCGCCTTCTGTACTTGCTCAACAGATGGCACTTCAGCCAGCCACTCACAGGGGATGCATACTTCTTCCAATATTTGAGGCACACAGAAATGCTCAAAATCTGCAAAACTGTTCTTGAGGGTTGGAGATCGGATCACCTTTCTTTCACCTAATGATGGTGATCGGTGTGGCACTGAAAGTTACTTTTTTGATGGCGTTAAAGAGTGATTTGTGGTCGGGGGCTACTGAGGCATACTCCATCTTCTCAGCAACCCGCGACCACCACCCATTCTTGCAGCGCCGCAAGGCTCTCCAAAGCTCTGAGCGAAGGCTGCGGTTAGCCGCCTCATTCCCTAACGTGGGCTGCTGTAGACGGTGAGAGTGGGCCTGTCGATTTTTCTCAGCCAGCTGGAACAACATCTCTGTCAGCCAGGGTCTCTGGGGAGGTTTGGACCATGTACCCAAAGCAATCATTGCAGCTGCATGAGCCAGTCATAAACCTCGCCCATTTCCCCATTTCCCTTCGGCATCAGGAGGAGGGGGGGGGGGGGACGATGCCAACCACAGCTGGAAATGATAATGAAAGTCTCGCTTGCAATTTTCATTAGCAACCTCAGACCAGGCAACTGTGTTTGAATGGGGTCCTGGATGTACACCCACCACTGGAGTGGAAGAATGGCAGATGCATCTTACAGATGACAAGCCAATGGTCAGTGGGCAGATCAGCTCCACGGTAGGTTCTGGTGTCAAGGACATGGACCCGCATCACTGTATAGTCCAGCAGATGTTCTTGTTTGGACCCAGCTTGCATCCATGATATTGTGTGGATGCTCTGATACCAGAACAGCGTGTTGGTAATTCCAAGCCCATGGGCTGCACAAAAGTCTAGCAGCCTCCTGCCGTTGTTATTGGGCTGATCTGGCCCTTGCCTTCCAATCACTCCAGACCAGGTACAAGTGTAACGGCCCACTCGAGCATTAAAATCACCCAACAGGATGACGATCCCAAGGAGCCATTTTAGCTAGCTCCTGTGACAGTAGGACATAGAAGGCATCCGACTCACCGGCCTTGCCTGCATCAATCCACTGATGAGTTACTGATGTCACTCACTCACCGACTCACTCATCCACTCTCCCACTCACCCACGCACCCTTTCTGTGCCCCCCCCCCTTCTTCCTGGTGACCTCACTTCCTGCCATCCGTGACCACCCGCAGGGTTTGACCCGGATGTGCTTCCAGCCCTACTCCTTCCAGCAGCTGCAGGAGATCGCGAGGTCGCACCTCTCTGGGGTCGCGAGCTTCGAACCGGACGCCCTCCAGCTGGTGGCACGCAAGGTCAGGGATCATGCAACCCGGGGGGGGGGAGGAGGGGACAGGCAGTTATGTCACAGGGAATGCTGAGAGATAGTAAGTGATGTCAAAGGATTTATTCACGGATGAAGTGATGTCACGTTAAGGTTGTGACAGGAAGCGATGTCACATTCTCAGTAGCAGTACACTTTAAATTTTGATTTAAAGCTTTCGTGACTGCAGTAATTCATATTCTTAGTTCTTTCGGTAAAGTCACATTGAAGGGAAACAACAAAATAATAAAATATATATAAAACAATAAAAATTCTCACGACGTTTCGACCATAACTCAAACGGTCGTCTTGTGTTATGGTCGAAACGTTGTGAGAATTTTTATTGTTTTATATATATTTTATTATTTTGTTGTTTCCCTTCAACGTGACTTTACCGAAAGAACTAAGAAAATAGCAGTACACTGTTTAGCAATAATACTTACGATGTTTAATAACGTTACAGTTATGATTCGTAATATAATCTTCATAATAATTAGCAGTATTTATCATCATAGATTGACATGATTTGATTTCACAGCTCAGAAAGTGATGTAATCAAACAGGAAGTGGTGCGATCTAACAGGAAGTGATGCAATGCAAGAGGAGGTGACGTCATGGACTCACCCACTCCACCCTCCCTCCCCTCTCACCCCCCCAGGTGGCTGCTCTGTCTGGTGATGCCCGCAGGATGCTGGACGTTTGTCGCCGGGCGGCCGAAATCGCAGCTGCCGAGGTGAAGGCCTCCTCATCCATCTCCCCCACCTGCCCCACCTCCTCCTCTGCCAATGGGAGGAGGGCCGCGGGGAGGTCACGTGACCCGGCGAGGGCGGCGGCTGTGGCAGCCAATGGGAAGGAACCTCGCGTGGGCCTGAGGCAGGTTGGGGCGGCACTGGAGGAGACGTTCAGATCACCCTGCGTGGCAGCCACTCGGTGAGTGGGGGGTGAAGGGGGGGGGGGTGAGTCGGGGGGGTGGGTGGCTCGCTCAGTAGTAGCAGTACCACCACCATCACCGTTATCAACAACATTCCCTCCAACATCCCTCATGGTTTCCCTCTTCTCCCCCGCGCCATTCCTCCTCTGTCTCTGTCCCTGTGTCTCTGTCCCTGTGTTTCCTCTATCCCCATGTCTCCTCATGTCCCTCTCCCCGTGTCTCTCGGTCTCCGTGTCTCTGTCTCCCAGTGTCTGTCCCCGTGCCTCTGTCCCCATGTCTCCTCTATTTCCATGTCTCTCTCCCCGTGTCTCTGTCTCCGTGTCTCTGTTTGCGCTGTCTGCGTGTCTCTGTCTCCGTGTGTTTGTCTCCGATGTCTTCGTGGCTCTGCTGTTTCCGTCTCTGTATCTCCGTGTCTCTCTGCTCGTGTCTCCGCTGTCCCCGTATCTACTTTATCCCCGTATCTCCTCTATCTCTGTGTCTCTGTGCCCGTGTCTCTGTCTGCGCTGTCATCGTGTTCCCTCTATGTCCGTGTCTCTCTCCCCTTGTGTCTTTCTCCGTGTCTTTGTTGTCAGCGTGTTTCTCCGCTGTCCTCGTGTCTCTGTCTCCGTGTCTCTCCCGCCGTGTCTCTTTATCCTCTGTCTTCGTGTCTGTCTCCGTGTCTGTGCTGTCTGCTTGACTGTGCTGTCTGCATGTCTCTGTCTGTGCTGTCCGTGTGTAGAGAGTGCTCCTCTCTGGACAAGTTCTTCCTGGAGGCCGTTTTGTCTGAATTCTCTCGGACCGGGCTGGAGGAGACTTCCTTCGGACAGGTGGGTGGTGGGAGAGTCCAAGTTCACTCTGTTTGGGGGGGGGGGGGGGGGAGTGGGTGGGAGAGTCCAAGTTCACTCTGTTTGGGGGGGGGGGGGGGGAGTGGGTGGGAGAGTCCAAGTTCACTCTGTTTGGGGGGGGGGAGTGGGTGGGAGAGTCCAGGTTCACTCAGGTAGGAGAGTGATAGAGCCTCTGTCTCTGTGTCCCCCGCCCACACCCCCAGGTGTTTGTGTCCCTCCGCTCGCTGCTGCTGCTGTCGGGGCACCCCCCCTGCTCGGTGTCGGCAGCTCTCGGGAGCTGCTCACGGCTCCTCTCGGCGCGCCTCCTCCTCTCCTCCTCCACACCCGGCCTGCGCCGCAGGCTTCGCCTTAACGTGCCGCGCGCGGACCTCCTCTACGCCCTGCGCGGCGGAGACTCGGCGTGAACTCGCCAACATGACCGCCGCCAGTGTGACCTTACCAAAGTGGCCGCCGCCGGTGTGACCTTACCAGCGTGGCCGCCGCCAGTGTGACCTTACCAGCGTGGCCACCAGTGTGACCTTACCAAAGTGGCCGCCGCCAGTGTGACCTTACCAAAGTGGCCGCCGCCAGTGTGACCTTACCAGCATGGCCGCCGGTGTGACCTTACCAACGTGGCTGCCGGTGTGACCGTACCGTGGCCGCCAGTGTGCCCTTACCAACGTGGCTGCCAGTGTGACCGTATAAGCGTGGCTGCCAGTGTGACTGTACCAATGTGGCCGCCCTCTTGACTTTACCAACATGGCCTCTGCCGGTGTGACCTCGCCAGCATTGCCGCCAGTGTGACCTTACCAACATGGTCATAATTTTACTAACATGGTCAACAGTGAATGTGTGACCTTACTAACATGAACCCCATAACCTTACCAGGCTAGCCACCGGTTTTACCTTATGAATATGACCGTCAGTGGGAGGTTATGGTGGTGGTGGTGGTGTGACCTTACCCACGTGGCTGCCAGTAGGGGGACTCCACCGGACCATACCAACATGGCCATCAGTGTGACCACAGCAACATGGCCACCATAACCTTACCAACATGGCCGCCAGCATAACCTCACCAACATGGCTGCCAGCAGGTTGTGGCTTGACCTCACCAACATGGCTACCCATGGGGTACCCCACCTCACAAGTAAACTATTTTACTCTCAGTTCAATAAATACACTTTTACCCAAACACGAGTCTCTGTGATTGACACTCCACCCTATACCCTGTGGACCACCCTGTATAACAATGCCCCTATGTGTCCTGATTTTTGGGCCACTCAGTATAATAATGCCCCTATGTGTCCTGACTAATGGGCCACACAGTATAAAATTCCCCCTTTGTGTCTCATAACCTAAATTTCGATTTAAAGCTTTCGTGACTGCAAGGATTCATCTTCTTTGGTTCTTTCGGTAAAGTCACGTAGAATGAGAATAAAATAAAATAACACAATAATATTCTTACGACGTTTCGGCCACAACACAAGCGGCCTTCATCAGGTGAAGGGACGAGACTGTCTGGAGGACAGCACTCCAGCGCTCATTCTCATTCTACGTGACTTTACCGAAAGAACCAAAGAAGAATAATAACCTATTTGCCCTGACTATTGGGCCGCCCGGTATAAACACATTCTCCTGCGAAGGGAGCTGGTAGGAACGTTTGGTTGCTCGGTCAATGGCCAGGGTCAACGGCGGCACCACGTGGTGTATTCCGCAAATATGTCCCACTGAGGGCGGGCACAAGTCGGCGTGAGTAGGTTAAACGTTGAGTTTTATAAGGGCACAACGGGGTGACCAGCCCCTCCCCACCCAGCCCCACCCAGCCCCACCCTCCCACCCAGCCCCTCCCCACCCTCCCCTCCAGCAAGTCCCACTCCTCCCATTTTTGGATGTACGACGGACGGACACAATAATCCCCTATGGGCTGGTGTAACCAGAGACTATTGGGCCGCCCTGTATGTTAATAACCTATTTGCCCTGACTTTTGGGCCACCCTGTATGTGAATAACCTATTTGCCCTGACTTTTAGGCCACCCTGTATAATAATAACCTATTTGCCCTGACTTTTGGGCCACCTTGTATAATAATAATAACCTATTTGCCCTGACCATTGGGCCACCCTGTATAATAATAACCTATTTGCCCTGACTATTGGGCCACCCTGTATAATAATAACCTATTTGCCCTGACTATTGGGCCGCCCTGTATGATAATAACTATTTGCCCTGACTTTTGGGCCACCCTGTATAATAATAACCTATTTGCCCTGACTATTGGGCCACCCTGTATAATAATAACCTATTTGCCCTGACTATTGGGCCGCCCTGTATGATAATAACCTATTTGTCCTGACTATTGGGCCACCCTGTATAATAATAACCTATTTGTCCTGACTATTGGGCCACCCTGTATAATAATAACCTATTTGCCCTGACTATTGGGCCGCCCTGTATGATAATAACCTATTTGTCCTGACTTTTGGGCCACCCTGTATAATAATAACCTATTTGCCCTGACTATTGGGCCACCCTGTATAATAATATCCTATTTGCCCTGACTTTTGAGCCACCCTGTATAATAATAACCTATTTGCCCTGACTATTGGGCCACCCTGTATAATAATAACTATTTGCCCTGACTTTTGGGCCACCCTGTATAATAATAACCTATTTGCCCTGACTATTGGGCCACCCTGTATAATAATAACCTATTTGCCCTAACTTTTGGGCCACCCTGTATAAAAGCACCCTCATGTGTCCTGACTTTTGGGCCACCCAGTAGAAGGAATCGAATGTTCCAGAGGAATCGCCGGTCACTGAATCGGAGATCATATATTCTCGCGGATCGATTCCGCTTCCCTAGTCAAAGGCCTCGCCTCTGACAGCCCGAGGTCTGTTTGGGTTCCCTTCGAGTCCCCTTGGGTCCCCTTCGGCTGCACCCCCTCGGCCGTACCCCCGATAGCTTCGTCCACAGGGAGCGGTGCCCGGTTATTAATCCTACGCCGGCGGGCGCTTGGCGGCGACGGATCCCGAAGAGACCGGCGAAGCCTACGGTGTTGCCTGGAACCTCCCGCCGCGAAGGAGCGAGCATGGCCGGCAGGAGCCGCGGGGCTGACAGGGGTCGGGGTCGGGATAATCAGAAGGAAGATTTGAAAAGAAAGGTGATGGTGGTGGTGATGTTGGTGGTGGTGATGTTGTTGGTGGTGGTGGTGATGTTGTTGGTGGTGGTGATGTTGTTGGTGGTGGTGATGTTGGTGGTGGTGATGTTGTTGGTGGTGGTGATGTTGGTGGTGGTGATGATCATGATGGTGGTGATGTTGGTGGTGATGATGATGGTGTTGATGATGGTATTCATGATGGTGACAGTGATGATGGTGTTGATGATTGTGATGATGGTATTCATGATGGTGATAGTGATGATGGTGATGATGGTATTCATGATGGTGATAGTGATGATGATGGTGATGCCTGCTATATCACTCAGCTGGGCCTGCTGCCATTTCCCGATGGTGATGGCGGGGGTTATGATGATGGTGATGGCGATGATGGGGATCTGGAGGCAGAGTTGGCGGCTCTGGTCGGGGGGACGGAGGGCAGAGGCAAGAAGGAGAAGCCACGCGGAAAAGGTGGTGAGTGCTGAGTCTGTGGTGCAGTGTTGAGTCTGTGAGTAGTGCTGAGTCTGTGGTGCAGTGCTGAGTCTGTGGTGCAGTGTTGAGTCTGTGAGTAGTGCTGAGTCTGTGGGCAGTGCTGAGTCTGGTGAGTGCTGAGTCTATGGTGCAGTGTTGAGTCTGTGAGTAGTGCTGAGTCTGTGAGTAGTGCTGAGTCTGTGGTGCAGTGTTGAGTCTATGGTGAGTGCTGAGTCTGTGGTGAGTGCTGAGTCTGTGGTGCAGTGTTGAGTCTATGTGCAGTGCTGAGTCTGTGGTGCAGTGTTGAGTCTTTGGTGAGTGCTGAGTCTGTGAGTAGTGCTGAGTCTGTGAGTAGTGCTGAGTCTGTGGCGCAGTGCTGAGTCTATGGTGAGTGCTGAGTCTGTGGTGCAGTACTAAGTCTACGATGTAGTGCTGAGTCTATGGGCAGTGTTGAGTCTGTGGTGCAGTGCTGAGTCTGTGGTGAGTGCTGAGTCTGTGGTGCAGTGCTGAACCTGTGGTTCAGTGTTGAGTCTGTGGTTCAGTGTTGAGTCTGTGAGTAGTGCTGAGTCTATGGTGCAGTGCTGAGTCTATTAGCAGTGTTGAGTCTATGGGCAGTGTTGAGTCTGTGAGTAGTGCTGAGTCTGTGAGTAGTGCTGAGTCTGTGGTGCAGTGCTGAGTCTATGGTGCAGTGCTGAGTCTACGAGCAGTGTTGAGTCTATGGGCAGTGTTGAGTCAATGGGCAGTGCTGAGTCTACGGGCAGTGTTGAGTCTATTGACAGGGTTGAGTCTATGGGCAGTGTTGAGTCTGTGGGCAGTGCTGAGTCTGTGGGCAGTGCTGAGTCTGTGGGCAGTGTTGAGTCTTCAGGCAGTGTTGAATCTGTGGGCAGTGTTGAGTCTGTGGTGCAGTGCTGAGTCTACGGGCAGTGATGAGTCTAATGCCAGTGCTGAGTCTATGGTGCAGTGCTGAGTCTACGGGCAGTGATGAGTCTAATGCCAGTGCTGAGTCTATGGTGCAGTGCTGGGTCTATGGTGCAGTGTTGAGTCTATGGGCAGTGTTGAGTCTACGGGCAGTGTTGAGTCTACGGGCAGTGTTGAGTCTGTGGGCAGCGTTGAGTCTGTGGTGCAGTGCTGAGTCTACAGGCAGTGCTGAGTCTAATGCCAGTGCTGAGTCTATGGTGCAGTGTTGAGTCTATGGTGCAGTGTTGAGTCTACAGTGCAGTGTTGAGTCTACGGTGCAGTGCTGAGTCTGTGGTGCAGTGTTGAGTCTGGGCAGTGTTGAGTCTATGGGCAGTGTTGAGTCTGTGGTGCAGTGCTGAGTCTGTGAGTAGTGCTGAGTCTATGGGCAGTGTTGAGTCTATGGACAGTGTTGAGTTTATGGTGCAGTGCTGAGCCTATGAGCCATGCTGAGTCTATGGGCAGTGTTGAGTCTATGGGCAGTGCTTAGTCTGTGGGCAGTGCTGAGTCTATGAGCAGTGCTGAGTCTATGAGCAGTGCTGAGTCTACGGGCAGTGTTGAGTCTATTGACAGGGTTGAGTCTATGGGGCAGTGTTGAGTCTACAGGCAGTGTTGAGTCTACGGTGCAGTGCTGAGTCTGTGGTGCAGTGCTGAGTCTGTGAGTAGTGCTGAGTCTGTGGGCAGTGCTGAGTCTTCAGGCAGTGTTGAATCTGTGGGCAGTGTTGAGTCTGTGGTGCAGTGCTGAGTCTACGGGCAGTGATGAGTCTAATGCCAGTGCTGAGTCTATGGTGCAGTGCTGAGTCTACGGGCAGTGATGAGTCTAATGCCAGTGCTGAGTCTATGGTGCAGTGCTGGGTCTATGGTGCAGTGTTGAGTCTATGGGCAGTGTTGAGTCTACGGGCAGTGTTGAGTCTACGGGCAGTGTTGAGTCTGTGGGCAGCGTTGAGTCTGTGGTGCAGTGCTGAGTCTACAGGCAGTGCTGAGTCTAATGCCAGTGCTGAGTCTATGGTGCAGTGTTGAGTCTATGGTGCAGTGTTGAGTCTACAGTGCAGTGTTGAGTCTACGGTGCAGTGCTGAGTCTGTGGTGCAGTGTTGAGTCTGGGCAGTGTTGAGTCTATGGGCAGTGTTGAGTCTGTGGTGCAGTGCTGAGTCTGTGAGTAGTGCTGAGTCTATGGGCAGTGTTGAGTCTATGGACAGTGTTGAGTTTATGGTGCAGTGCTGAGCCTATGAGCCATGCTGAGTCTATGGGCAGTGTTGAGTCTATGGGCAGTGCTTAGTCTGTGGGCAGTGCTGAGTCTATGAGCAGTGCTGAGTCTATGAGCAGTGCTGAGTCTACGGGCAGTGTTGAGTCTATTGACAGGGTTGAGTCTATGGGGCAGTGTTGAGTCTACAGGCAGTGTTGAGTCTACGGTGCAGTGCTGAGTCTGTGGTGCAGTGCTGAGTCTGTGAGTAGTGCTGAGTCTGTGGGCAGTGCTGAGTCTATGAGCAGTGCTGAGTCTACGGGCAGTGTTGAGTCTACGGTGCAGTGTTGAGTCTACGGTGCAGTGCTGAGTCTGTGGTGCAGTGTTGAGTCTATGGGCAGTGTTGAGTTTGTGGTGCAGTGCTGAGTCTGT